AAACAATCCTGAAAAGTAGACTAAATGATACTAATCAAACTCTGATGAATGTAAAACAGTCCTGTAAAAGCATAGGATAACTACTAGTTTTACATACAGACACTTGTATTTTTTGTGACTCCCATCACATTGCCACATTTAATTGAGCCATTTGTTTTAAGTATATTTAGAGTTTTCAGTAAATAAAAATCTCTACCAAATTCAATAATAAGGCATTAAATAAATGCTCTTTTTTATAATGATGATGTTACAAATTTTCACTAATTCAAACTGATATGTTATAGCATACTTGTGTTGAAATTCCTTCTCTCTCTTCAGGTCTTCATTGTGTTTCTTTATTCTTTTTTCCCAAACTTCCTTTACAGCATTGACACTCCCAGTACAAACCACATTTTCTGTCATGATTTCTCCACATTGTCAGAGAGTTACCAACTTCATTATGTTCTAAACAGCTGAATCACAGATGACATCTCAGAAAGGACCTAATGGTACCAGAGGAAAAAAAAGCAATTTGCTTCAGATTGTTCATTGATAGTTTTAAATTGTTCATAATAATTATAAATACTAATATTTATTAAACACTTCCTATTTCCCAAAACTATTTTATATACCTTACATACCATACCTCACTTAAAAATCCCCATAAAAATACTGCGATATGTGTACTTTTATTGTCTTTAATATACAGGTGAGAAAAACTGAGTCTTAAAGAAGGTAAAACAATTTGCTGATGGTCTTATATCTAATGTGTGGTAGAGGTGGGAATTGATGCCAAGTCTATTTCCTTTGTTACTATGTAATTCACAATAATGGAAAATGTCCAATTATTGGAAAATGGTTAAACAAAATAAGACTGGCATCTTGGGATATCTATCTAACCACAAGCTGGAATATAGTTAAGTGACAACATACTGAGATCATTTGCTCTTATGTAAAATAAATTGCAGGGCCGGCCCCGTGGCGCACTCAGGAGAGTGCTGCGCTGGGAGCACAGTGACGCTCCCACCGCGGGTTCGGATCCTATATAGGGATGGCCGGTGCGCTCACTGGCTGAGCACGGTGTGGGCGACACCACACCAAGGGTTGCAATCCCCTTACCGGTCACGAAAAAAGACAAAAAAAATAAATAAATAAAAATTAAAAAAATAAATAAATAAAATTGCAAAGGGATGAATGCAGTATTGAGGATTGTGACCTGAATCTTAGAAATGAGAGGAAAAGGGCCGGCCCCGTGGCGCACTCGGGAGAGTGCAGTGCTGGGAGCGCAGCAATGCTCCCTGCCGCGGGTTCGGATCCTATATAGGAATGGCCGGTGCACTCACTGGCTGAGCGTGGTGCGGGCGACACCACACCAAGGGTTGCGATCCCCTTACCAGTCACGAAAAAGACAAAAAAAAAATGAAATGAGAGGAAAATAATAATAGGAGAATGGTTATGTAAGTTATGGTAAATTTACTTGATGGAATGTCCTACAGCCTTACAAATAACAATATTAATTTTTCTCCAAGTTAGCAATAATCAAAGAATTTGATTCACAATTATTTATTTGAATTATTACCTTCCAAATTCAGGAAGACAAAGATGTTCACAATCAACACTTTTATTCAACATTATACTGGAAAGCTATGATGCAAGGAAAGTAAATAGAAAGGTATAAAATTGGAAAAGGAAGACATGAAATTTGCAGCAGCATAGGGAAACAGGTAGTTTCATACACTAATGGTAGCAATATGTATTGTTGTATTCTCTATTGAGAGAAATTTGGTAATATCTATCAAACTCACAAATGCACATTCACACTTCTAGGAATTTACACTGCAGATATTTTCAAGTGTAAAATAACATATTGCAAACTTATTCATTGTTTTTTTTTAATAACAGCAAAATATGGAAAAAAACTAACGTTCCATCAGCAAATTATAGTACACGTATATCATGGGAAATTATATAGGTCCATAAAAAAGGAAAATCATTCTATATATTGATATGTCATAATCTCCAAAATATATGCCTACACCATAATTTATCCATTGTAATAATTGTGGGTATTTGGATCCCATATTTTTGCTATTATGAGCAATATTGTTTCTAAAGTTCTTGTTCTTATCTTCCTGGTGCTGAAATAAATGGAATTATTTATATTGGGTATATATCTGGGATTAGACTTGCTGGCTCATAAGGTATGTGAATGTTCCAATTAACAAGCATGCTAAATTGTTTTCCAAAGTGATTGTGCAGCATATGTTCTTCACAGGACCTGGTTTTCCAAAGCCTTGCAGTTTCAAATATCGACCTTGCAGAGGACTGGAAATTTCCCTCTAAGTCTCTGTTACAAGATAAGGATTGTGGCACAGCAGGTTGCTGGCTCAAACACAGACTAGTTACTGATGGTTATGTAAAGATACTGAGAAATTGCTGTTAAGAAGGAATGTTTGCTAAGATCAAACTGTTGTTGATAGGACCACTTAATTGTCTACTGGAATGTCATCTGGCTTGTTTCACTGAAAGTTACCAGCCTGTACTGTTAAACTATAACCCCACCTTTGTCTCTTCCTGTAACTTCCTGGTCTGGAAAATAAATGCAGGAAGAGAACCCCAATTTGGCGTTAATTTCCCAAGGAAGGGATGCCTCTCTCTTGAAGGTTCCTGCGGGAGATTGACCACTTCGGGGCCTCTCACTGCTCAGAAGACATGGACTTTGAGTAATCCTTTGCATCTCTGTCACCCAGGGGAAGTGAGGTGACAAATCTGTGGGGGCGAAGCAACACAAAGCAACATTGGCTCATAAGGTATGTGAATGTTCCAATTAACAAGCGTGCCAAATTGTTTTCCAAAGTGATTGTGCCTATTTGTACTGCTACTCCCACTACATAATGGTCCTCATTGTTGTATGTCCTCATCAACACACTACTGTATAAAATGATGTCCGGTGTGGTCATAATTTGTACTTTCCTGATTACTAAATGTTCCAAGTTGATATACAAAGATTGTCCTATTAAATAAGAGACAAAATTCTGAGGGTTGTTTGTAAGTGGTACACCTAAAAAATAAAAATAAGGAAAAGTGGACAGTAGAAGAATAGAAAAAGATCCATTCTAGGTATATTCCCAAGAGAAATAAAAACATATGTTTTCACAAAAACTTGGACATGAATGCTGATAGCAACATTATTCATAATAGCCAAAATGTGGAAACAACACAAATAGCCATCTACAGATGAATGGATAAACAGAATGTGGTATATCTATACAATGGAGTATTTTAGGCCATAAAAAAGAATGAAATACCGATACATGCTACAGAATGGGTAAACCTTGAATAAAATTATGCTAAGTCAGACACAAAAGACCACGTATTTATGATACCGTTTATATGAAATGTTCAGAATAGGCAAATCCATAGATATAAAAAGTAGACTAATGGTATCCAAGGGCTTTGCAGAGGGGGAAATAAGGAGTGACTGCCAGCTCCACATTTTCTTTTTTGAATGATGAAGGTGTTCTGGGTAGACAGTGATGATTGTACAACTCTGTGAATATACTAAAAACCACTGTATTGTACACTTTAAAAGAGATATTATGTATGTGAATTATATTTTAATTAAAATTTTTCACAATTGTAAAAGATATCATGTAAATGCTAATCAAAAGAACTAGTATACATATAGTAATAGCAGACAAAATGGACTTTAGGCACAAATGTATTACAG